TTTGACTCTAAGCGCTCATCTCATTCAATACAACAATAACCGACTAATAAATAATTATATAATTTAAATATTAATGTACCATTTACAATGGATCTTTTCCAAATTTTTATTTTTTGTTTTTTTTTTTTTATATCTTTTAGTCTAATGTATTTTTTAGTTATTTTTATAGCTAAAAGTTAATAAATCACCTTGATCGTCATAGAACCTATAGAATGTTCATTTTTAGATATTGCCAGATTTGAGGGTTGGATCCGGTTTACATATCTACGTCCATATAGTACTAGTCCATGAGTTTGATTAGGCGAAGAGAATACCGTTGACAGTTTCTATCGATCGATAGTTAGCTAAACTAAAATAGAACTGGAATTGTATCATTGACACTTAGTAGAATAATAAGAAAAGCACTAAAAACTGCAGTTTCGTTCGTTTGATTTAAAGAAAATTTATTTAAAGGTATCGGACACCAGTAATCGACCGAACCCCGCACGCAGATATCATCGACGAGTGTTAATAATACGCCATTGAATTTTAATATGATCTTTTAGACAATAATTCAGTTCCGTTTTCGATAACCAAGCGTTTGTTTTGGAGTTGGAAAAGGGTACAATACCCAGAAGTCGGCTCCATACCAGTAGTCGGCCTTTACAGGCTATAAAGTCATATAAATAATGTAAAACTAGGGTTATATATACCATTGAAATGACGTCTGATCCAATCTATGTTCTCCTATTTGTTAATACGCACACCTTCGAATCAAAAAGATAACCGGTTGATGAGCTGTATTCGGTCATTTTCACTGCCGCCAATGACATGATCGAAAGCGTCACCATTATTTTTTTTCCACAAAACGTATTATTTTACGTATTCATGATTAACGTAAGTTTTTCATGAGTTTGCTGTGAATTCTGGTGGATTTATATGTTATATTATTTTAAAATGGTCGGCCTGAACTGGTCGACTACTGGCTTTATTAGGTTTTTCTTTAATTTCATTGAAATTCACACAGTAAATAGTTAATATTTTTGCTTAACAGTTGATAGGATTGGATATAAATCTTAGATGAAAATAAGTTAATTTTACCAATAGATGGTCGTGTATAAATGTGAATGTATGTTGATGGTCGACTAAAGGACTTTTGACCCCAGCCATTAGTAATGCTGCATAAAATTAAATCGTATTATCGTTTTGGTATAAGAATATAGAATGTCATCATGTCGAGAAGAAGTTTGAAAAGCAGAAAGAATAAGTAAAATAACAGAAAAAGACAAAAGAAGAAATCCGATCAGTGGCGGACCAACCTCGTCGGGGGCCCGGGGTGGCATCAGGCTCGGACCTATAACTTATTCCTACGGGGCAGAAACTTGATATTACGTTTATACCCCTGATAAGACGCCTCCTTAAACTATGACACTGGACATAAGAAAGATAAGGCAGTACAACCCCAATTTATGATTTGATCAGGGAGGCCCCATTCACTTCCAGCCATTTGGAGGCCCCTCGGGACAAGAGGCCCGGGGAGTACCGCCCCCTCCGACCCCCTTAGTCCGCCACTGTCAGAATTCCAAAAAAATTGAAACTGTTGTAGCCTAAAAATAGTTATTAGAGAATTCAAAGAATATTAGTTGAGGCCTTCATATGCTATAAAACGGCAAGATGTGCGCGTTGTCTCCTAGCTGTGACATATTATTGAGTAGGACGGTAAATTATGAACTTTAAATTTTGTTTGATTTATGACTTGTTTTCATTTGAAAGTTGACAGAGTATAAAGTCTTATTTGTTTATTTAATATTCCCCGATGTCAAAGGTTCATTTTCCTTCATTGGAACCCACGGTCTTTGCCTTCCGAGGGCGAACAGTTGACGTCACAATCTTAGTACTTTTAGAAGGGGGGGAAAAATACATTGTGTGAATCAGTCTTGGTTTATTGAAACGGCAATATATGTTAATTAAGTATTAGGTATTTCTTCTTTACTTAAGATATTTCTTCGAAGTACTTAAAACAATTCTTTAAATTGTAGATAGTATCATTTTCCCACTTTAATGACAAAATATTATCTACTTAGAAATCTTCTGAAATTTCATCATTATTGTTCAAAAAAGAAATTAAATTATTATTTTCTGAAATAGCTTATTTATTCATCGATGCTATCGCATTATGATTTTGTGGTCTGAAATGAAAACACTACGTTTCGCGATCAGTTTTTGGCAGTTTTTATAAGCCGTCTTGTTGAACGGTCCAAATAACATAATGATTCAACTAGAAAACTAGGTGTGTAATTAAATGGGTAGCCGCCCAATTGAACGGCTGATCTAACTATTTAGCTGCGACATATACATAATAACCTACTCAAAAAAAAAAATTATATAATTTATTAATTAAAATTTTTGGCAATCATGTTTTTTAATTTATTTAATATATTATAATATTAAACTGTGACGTCAAAGATATAACCTAGTTTATGTGTATGTGTGATATAACTACAGGACTTAATGAATTGAAAGGAAATATCTCGATTTTATTACTACTGATATTATAAGAGGAATAGGGTCTAGCAAGAGCTATTGGAAGCTACATCATACGCGGCGTATAACCATAGAGTATAATTTACGTGGCCGAAAACATTTAGTTATATATAATATTACATTTTTTTATATATATATAAATAGAGACAGATTAACAAATAGCTAATCAGAGATAATGGTGTCAATTCCGTAGTAACTACACTAAACTAAAATTAATGTAATAATAACTTTAATTTGTTTATTTAAACGCTATTGAAAGAAATATATTTACACTCATGTATTAAAACTAAAATATAAGAAGTTTACTTCTATTATATTTGATATATTCATAATCATTATTGAATACGCCATTTGATAGGACATAAACTAAATTTAGTCTAGTTTGTAAAATAGAATTGCTACTATTATAATACTATAAAACTTTACACTTTGTTTCTAAGATTTCCAGGGTAGATATTATAAATGAATGATTATATTTTTCTTTTTTTTCGTTAAAAAAGTTATGGGCAATGAGCATTTTCACCTGCGCTTAGGATTAGTCATATGTCACAGGGTTGTCAATAATGTTTTTTCGTGTTACGCTTTTTATTCTACTTGGTAACGTAATTAATTGCTTTTATGTGTATATATTATAATTTAACTATAATTCAGGGATGTCTAGATAAACTCAACTTTTCGTTGATTGAAATTTAGTGTAAACAAATATACATATATAGTATGTACACAAGGATATGTAAAGACCAGAACTTCAATCATTAAATTGGTTGAACAAACCAATTGCAATGTTCTTTAATAATAAAAGGTAAATTTATGTTCTTTACAAGGATAACTATGTCTCTGTATATTTCCTTAAAATCTGTTCAGTAACTAAGGCGTGAGCTTTCCCCTGCGTTTACAAAGACCTGAAACCATCGAAGACAGACAGAGTTACTATTTATTCATCATATTAGTAAAGGTAAGCATGTACCATAAGTTTAATTTTAGTATGTTAGGCAACCCTATCGACTGACGACGGCATGCGTGTCATCGACCGACTCTTGCGCAGATCGCTCGGATTCCGCACCGTGCATTTTCTGTGAAATTCGTGTCGAGCATACAACACACACACACCTTTAATTATTGTATAAACAAGATAATCAAGCGCTACATTTACATAGATAAAAAAAAATTGGTACAATGTAATCAATGTGTAAATTGAGCCATATAAAATATTCCATCCGATTATTAGTAAAGTGAATAAGGTGTCGATCATATTTTGTAAAAAAATTAGTTTGCTTTAGTTTCCACAATTAAAAAAATAAAATTAAAAACTAGAACTTTATAATAACAAGAGTTTTTAGACTTTTAACGTTTCGGATATCATGTATGACAACATATGACAAACACCCGATAAACTTTTAAAAAGTTTGGGAAACCTATTTATTATAGTATTATTTAGGAACACCCACTGATTACCTTTTATATTTTATGGTTCATTATTTTATAGATAAATACAAAGTCTTTGAAATATTTAAAATTGAATCAGGTTATTTTAAAACTTAACTTTTAATGTGAAGAATGAGATTGTTTCATTGTTGTTTTCTAATAATTGCGTTAACAGATAAAAGAACAAATAATTTCGCGGCATCCATATGACTTCCTTACGGAATCGCTGTATTATATACTAGCGGCCGCTAGCGACTTCGTCCGCGTTTTCCATTATTTCTTCGCTCCTAATAGTTGCAGCGTGATGTTATATAGCCTAAAGCCTTCCTCGATAAATGGTCTATTCAACACAAAAATAATTTTTCAATTCGAACCAGTAGTTCCTGAGATTAGCGCGTTCAAACAAACAAACAAACTCTTCAGCTTTATAATATTAGCATAGATACCTAAGAAAATACATAAGTACACTCTATAGCAGAATAGAGCTTATTCCAAACTCACTCTTTTACACATAAAATAAATATCTACTTTCTCTTTTGTCGTTCTGCCAATATATGAAATATATAAAACCTTGTTACTAAACTTTTCATTTACAATAAAAAACAAAAGAAACAATTTTGCCAACATCCGCTAATATTGTTGAAGGTAATTATTAAGCACCCATCTCTGATAATCATCAATTTTAACCTTAACATAAGTAAATTTAAATAAGCCGTATCAAAAATGTGTAGGAAACTTTATTAATTTTAAGTATTTTTGTAAATTATCATTATATAATGTAAAATTATTTGAAACTGAAGTTGAAAATTCGAGAAAAAAAAACGCTTAAATCAAAGATTCGTTCTAAGAATATAAACCGTAAATACTCCTTTTAAAAAAAAGAAAATGTGTTGAATACCTGAAATTCTAAAAGATAAAATGTCACCCAGTTTCTAAAAAAAAATTCCGTCTTCTCCTTCGTTATCTAAGACAAAATTTTTATTTACAACTAAAATGAGGTTGCATTTAAAATTTTTAATATACCTACTCGCGGACGTCATGCGGCGGGCCCAGTACCACCTTGCATTATCTTGATTTACTTATCTGTGGCGGGTACACCAGGCGCTATGCAGTGTTCTTTCACGCAGCCGAGCGAGTCGGTCGTCCGCGGTTTCGCGATTGCTTTTTTTTGTGCGAGTGTGTGTGTTGTGATTGAGTGATAACGGTTCGTGGTACCGGTGCGGTTGTTGTAAAGGTAAATGTGATGAGCCCTTTGTACATCGGAATCGGGTCGAGGCGACCGATCTTGTTTCGGTATACGACCTCTTTCGTCGTTACACTGTCATACTTCTTGGTTTAATTGGAATCTTTCGCGGTTTTCTCGTTTCGAATTTGGAATGCAGTTGTTTAGGACATTAGTAGGTATTTTGATTCGACTTTCATTGTGTTCAGCCATGTAAAAATCCAGACCCGAATTCGAATTCACTCATGTGTTTTAGTGTAGAAATTCCAAATTCACGTCATTCAGTGTAGAAATTCTATTGATTCCATTTTTTGTATAAAAATACAAAACAAAATTGATTGAATATACGATTGTCTTAGATATTCTATTCCTATGTAATTTCGAAACTCACTTTACTTATGCCCTGAAACGTTATTACAAGTTTAAGGTTGAGCGGATGCCGCTTTTAGGAGTGAATACGGACGCCTGAGTGGATTTGAATTCGGGTTTGGATTTAACAGAATCGCGAGGCTGAATGCTTCATAAAGCCATTAGATGAATCCTCTGTTTCATTTTTGATTTGGCAAGCTTTTGGTCGTCCTCTTTTCAGATTTGTAAATATTTCTAATAAGAAATTCTTTATCTTACAGTATTCAGGTGCGTAATCCAAAAATCAAAAAGTTTCATTCGGTTTTGTATTAAGTACTAATCTTCAAATAAATCATAATTGAAAATAGGAAAATTACAACTTATTTCGAAGACGCTTGTCTTTTCTAAATAAAAAAAAAAAACAAAAAACTACCGCAAATTAATAAAAAAAAATTACAAACATTTTTTTTGATTTCTTTTATAGATAAATGATTTATTTCTTTCCAAAAGCATTACTATATATTTCTTAACAATTTAAATTTCACTTTAAATTTCTAATCAAAAGAAAAAAAATACATGCCCCGTTTTATAATAACGAGCAAAAATGCATACATGTATGATTAATTAACAAAAGCAAAAATTTCGTTTTTTCTTTGGCTTTACGCTCCATCTTAATACTATAATACTTAAAATAACATTACGTTTTAATAAGTATGATGGGGTGGGTACTTCCCCAAACAAATTTGGTGAGTAATAAGAACCGATAATATCTGCGAAACTACTTACTAATTCATGTCCCGCTTCTTACCTGTCAATGTACATAGTACCGATTAAAAGTTACAAAATTATTTTTAATTATTTATCCGCAAACCGCTATTGAATTATCTGGTAGAGAGATTTGATAAAAATTAAAGTCTACCCAAATATTGCACAGACATTGGTACGTCTACTGGTACCGTCGATAAAGAAGTCATACCTAATTGTAGTTTAACTTGGTTTGACTTTATGTCAGTTGAAGACAAGTTGTGAACTGATATTCTTTACGAATATATTAAACTTAACAAGATAACTATATCATAAATTAGTTTGCTTTTTCCCAATCAGTTATTTGGAGTGGGCTTAATATGTATTATATATTTTTCTTACGTGGTGCTCGATCTGCCGTCACCTCAATATTCACACCTTTATTACACGTATCGTCTTTCATATAGTCTATTCATCTTTTCTTCGGTCTTCATCCAATTACATTGATTTTCATAATCACGCTTATAAGCTTTTTGTTGCATTTTTCAAATGGTTTGTCCGTCCGTCAGTCAGATAATAGAAAATATTAGATACGTATTTTTTTTTGCTTCAATTTAACAAGAAATGGCTTAGATAATAGGCATTAAAGTTGGGGAATGGGGGCTCGCTCAGTCACAGTTTTGTAGAAAATCTAGGTACAAAAGCGTAAAAGTCATGCATGCGGCATTTCAACTCGGTGTATCACCATAATTAATTGATTACCCAAAAAATATGTCAATAAAAAACTAAAATTAGTTATCATCCCTCATCATTACTCTTCATAAATGTTACGCTCAATCATCGGAATCGCACATTGAATCAGCGAAAAAAATGTTCACAACGCGTTGTGGCAATCGTTGAATAACCACATATACGTGTTGTGGCTAACATGCTATTCGACCTCAACACGTTGTGGCAATGAAGAAATGGTAGAGTACAACAGGTACTCTATTTTAGAGTTGGCAAACCTAGTCAGGACATGCGGTGCAGTGAAGCGAAAAGGGTGTACGCAAAGCTAAAGGTTAGTAGGTATTTGATCAGTTACTAGCAACTTGATAAATGAGACGTCAATTCGTTTTGAACTTTACAAAAAAAATTCTAATCCTTATAATTTTTATAAATAGCTGTGATTAAAAGAAAAATAAACGAATTAAAGCAAAGGAGTTATGTACATTCGGTTTAGTTGAACGTTTAGTTTTTATTTTGATGTTCATAGTAATATTTTCAATATATCACGGCCCAACTGCAAGGCGATTAAGTAGTCTCTGTTTTTTTATTCCTCACTCGATGTCTGCATGCTATTAAGAAACCAGTAATAATAATTTATGAACCACTATTAACCTGTTTAAAGAGGATTTTTAAATAATAAAACTTGCAAAGAAAAATCTTTAACGCCGCTTTTCTAAAGGTCGCGGTATTTTTTTCTTTAGTTGCCTTATTAATTCACTGTGAGTGCGATATGCATATTGAACAATTGTTTAAGTTTTCTCTATTCGATTCCACGGGGAAGGCACCTTAACAGCAAGAACATTGAATATCACTTCGAATGATAAAAAATAAATATTATATAAAAACTTCATGAATTCTTTAAAATAGGTAGGTTAAAATACTCGCAAAATTGTTTAAAGTTGATTTTATGTTATTCGATTTATTTTTAACAAACAACTTATGTGAATTTAATTTTCGCTTTATTAAATCAATTTAAACAAAGCCTTTTGGTGTTGGACGGGTTCGGTGCTTGTTGTTGGTTGATAAATGAAACGGCTGACTAGGCTTGATTAGTAGGTAAGGATATTTATTGGGTAAATAAAAAAACAGTAACAACAAAAAAAAAAGAATATAAAAACAGTTCGTATGGATTTCAAATAGTATGTTGGATTGTATACAACGTGTGCCAAAATTCAACGATAAGCGGGCGCCAAGAGGTAGACCTGCTCATGTGTACTTATGGAAAAATAAGAAAAAAATTATATCTTATTAATCTTTTTTATTATAAAATAAAATCTACTTAGGTATCCGATACCAAAAAAAGATTGAACATAATTGAGAAGTTGTGGTCGTGGTAGTTGAAAATATCATAAAAGGTGTAAATTTTCGAAGATTTTCGAATTTAATTTTATAATAAAAAAGATAAGATATAATTTTTTTCTTATTTTTCCATAAGTACACATGAGCAAGGGTACCTCTTGGCGCCCGCTTATCGTTGAATTTTGGGACACGTTGTATACTTAAATAAACAATTACCACTTATTAGATGTTATACTGCTGATTAGTATGGTTAATATATGATAGAAATAATGTCCTCGCCGCATGAATTTTTCATGAACTGACATTCAGAAAGAGCATATTGCGTTACTCAAAATTTCAAATTACGAAAAATGTATAATAAAAAGAGATTATGTTAAAGATCAAAGACAAAATGTCAAATATGTTAAGATTATTCAAATTGCATCCGTCGATTACAGTCCCTACAAGAATCACATCTCACTCTGCAACATGTATTGATAATATATACACAAATTGCGAGCAATACAAAACAGTTGTTAAAGATCTTGGAGTATCTGACCATACTTATCAGATCATATCTGTTCCAACTAATATAAATTTTTGGTTTTTTTACAAAAGATGTCCCGAGGAGTTTGGGGTGGTGTTTGCGAAATATATTCACAAATAAATTTCAATGAGATTTTGAGTCTAAACTATGTTAATGAAGCTTACAATGAATTCATAAAAATGTTTCACCTTATCTATGACCTTTGTGTTCCTCTAAAAAAACAAAAAATTACACTCAAACGTTCACATGAATGGAAGACCAAAGGTATTATATCTTCCTGTAAAAATAAACGAAACATGTATTTATTGACAAAAAGAACAAATAATATTGAAGTTAGAAGAAGGTATAAAACTTATTGTAAAATACTCAAGTCAGTGACAAAATTATAAGATTAAAGCGTATAACTAACATTAACTATATACAATGAAACTGTAATAAAAGTCGAGCCACATAGCACAATTTTTAAACTAAATACAATATAAACAATTCGTGTTAAGGAAACAGTTGACTTAATTAAAAAAGACGACAAAATCATAAGTAGTTCAATTGACATTGCTAAAGAATTTAATATTTTTTTTATGAACACCTCAATTAATTTATCAGCTGATATTTCATATAGAACACTTACACATTCGAATTTAAATAGCATATTTTTGACTCCTGTAAATGATCAAGAAATAATAAAAATAGTTAAATGTTTTAAAAATAAAAAAGCACGGATCATGACGATATACCAATGTCAATAATAAAGGCAAGTATTCCATTTGTAGCTGAACCCCTTGTTCACATTATTAACTTGACTCTAGAAACCGTAGAATTCCCAGATGATCTGAAAAAGGGTTTGGTTAAGCCTGTACATAAAAGAGACTCCAAGACTGAAATGGGTAATTACAGGCCCATCGTACTATTATCTATTTTTTCTAAGTTATTTGAAAGGGTTATTTATAGTAGAGTAATGTAGTTCCTTGAGAAGCATAGCATATTGAATTCAAATCAATACGGGTTTCAAAAGCAAAACAATATCACATTAGCGATTTTTAAAATACTAAAACAAATTTGGACTGAGGTAAATAATAAAAATACATGTATTGGTCTATTTTTAGACCTTTCCAAAGCATTTGACTGTGTTATGCCCAATATCCTTTTATCGCAATTAGAACATGTCGGGATTCGAGGTAATGCTCATAAATTACTACAATCTTATTTAAAAAACCGATGTCAAGCTACAGTTCTCAACATTTTTAATTAAAAAGCAAAAGTAATGACTACAGTTCAGTCTGACTTTGAAAATAATAAAATAGGAGTCCCACAAGGCAACGTTTTGGGACCTTTATTGTTTTTAATATA